AATCCCCATCTGTTCTGTTTCATGGATGTCTTTTGCTAAGTGAAAGGGATGAGGAAGGGAGTCCTCCAGGTGATGCATCAGCATCTGTATGGCTTCATGACCTTTCAAAACAAACCGAAGTGATGTGAAAGGACCGGCCACCAGGAGCTGGGTGAGCTTCCCAAGCTAAGCCATGAAACCCACCTCCCGGAGCTCCGCAATGTGAGCACGGAAATCCTCCAAACCTCGATGCGATGACGCTGAATTGGTCAACATCAAGTCATCTCCGCATCTGTAATAGTTATTATACCAGGACCCTTAGCTGTGAAGGGGTGTCCATGAACCACCCCTTGAAGGCCTTGGTATATATTCTGTATCACAGATGCATTACCAGGACCTTCCCAGTGGCCTCTTCAGGATTGGTAGAACCGTGACTTTTTCAAGGCCGTTTCGTGACCTCATTCTGGGATCTTAAGTTAGGTCACTGGGAAGGTCCTGGTAATTGGTGAGGCCAAAATTGATTTATAATGTTTTATATGCTTGGCTCACTTGGAACCATTTTGCCACCTCATGTGTGCATCCCAGTATCTGTGTAGCCTTCTCCCTCCTGCTTTGGCGCAGGATGGCAGTATCTCTGAAACCTGGTTTCTGTATGTTTCTGTTAAATTCCAACAATTGGCCACTAGCTACAGGTTCACCAACCTACTTATGGACTTGGAACAAAGCGAGCAAAAAGACCACTCATCGCCCCTGACAAATTGGCGAACTTTCATCCACTGCTTCACCCCTCTTCCTGAGCAGGTTCTTAAGGCTCCAGCTGAAGCCCTCTTCCTGATCATCCAAACACCCCCAGACGCAGCAGGGATTATGGATCCACTTGCGACGGGAGGAGCGCAAAACATCTTACACGATGTGGTTCTTGAAAACGGCCGTATTAAAGTTACGTATATATGCAGCATATCACGTAACTATACGCAAGATTACGCAAGTAAAGTCCTGAACATTGGCTGGAAGATTCTACGCTTCTACACCTCTTCAGGCTTTGAACACGCGACCGAAAGAGGAACAAGAAGCTACTAGGGGCTCTTGGCATCGCTACTAGGGGCTCCTGGCCTTACTACTAGTAACAAGAAACTAGTGGAAACAACGCCTGCACCACGGACTTCAACTGCCGCTCAAAGAGTTGGACGTACTCCTGGTGCAACTGAGTCCTCGCGGCATTCATCCCCGGTTGGTTCGTACTCGTCCGTGTTCGGTGAAAACGGGTTTGGATGGGCTGATATGGATGGACCTGAATGGTATCGCAAGGCGGGTTCGGATGGAGGTGGGGGTGGAGGGTGCGGTCCAATTTCAGACAAGAGTCTCTGGACACGAGATGACCCAAAAGAAAAACTATAGAGCTTCCTAGAACCCAAACATGACCACTGGTTTGAGAAGACAAGACCCTACTTGGGGTGGTGTGTGATTCAACCTAGGTTTCGCAAACAGGAACAAATCAAAGGTAAAATCAATGCACATGGAATCCTTAGGTGCTTCTATATTGTCCTTGTCACCTGCAAGAGCAACACGAACACGTGTCATGTCACTGTCATGTCTCGTTCCCACAATCAATCCACTTCTACATCACCGCAGCCCTACTGTGGGTCAAAAATCAAATTGTAAAACACAGGCAGCGCATCGCTGCCCCTACAGAGCTCCTAAGGTATACTCTAGGTGTACCCTGTATCCGGATCACCACTCCCTATTAAACTAATCCCTGTAATAGTGGATTATAATGATGGTTGGTTAAAGGCTAAACTAGATATCCTTTTTTTACCGCCTGTGCCAGGTCACGCGCCCAAGATATACTTAGGGCCTTAGGGTATCTTAGGGTTTGGGGCTTTAGAAGAAAACAATCAGACGCTCTCCTCGTAGTCCATTCCGAGTCGGATTCGAGACCGAACACTCTGCCTGCCCGCAGGCCCGGAGGGCGCGAACCAAAACCCACGACCGGCCCAGCCGTACGCGCCCCCCGCACCCACCGGCGCTCCAGTGGAGAGGGTAGCCGTCGTCGGGCGCACGGCCGAAGGCCGAAGCGTGGCGCCGTACGAAGCTCCGCACCTGGGCGGGGCCCGTTTGGCAGGAGTGGGTCGATGTTGAGGGCCCCTGGGTGTGATGAAAAGGTCTTGTGGACCAAGCGAAGAAGAACGCGAAAAAAACGAACATGTGTTTGGCACGAAAAGAAAAGAACAGCTTGTTTTTTTTTGGGGGGAAATGGAACTATATATACTGGAACTCCCCAGCGTTTCTAAAAGGTTCTTGTTCGGGAGCGTGTTCCTGCCAAAATCGACCGGTTCCGTTTCCCGCTTGCTCGGTCCGACGGAGAGCGATTCACGCCGTTCGTGCTTCAGATGAGCGTTTCTTTCGGAGCGTTCGGCGTGAACGAAGAGGTGAGGAACATGGAAGAAGCCCTCAAGGCTGGAAGAGATTTTGCAAGTCATAGATTAAATTGAGCAATGAACTGTTGTGTATATTCATGGTATATATCATGATTAACGTTGTGTTCTTCAATTGGACAAGACTCCACATTCTGGAGTCACCTTCCTGTTCCCCTACTCAGAGATGCTCAGCATAAAGCACCACCCACATGTGGTGTTTCGCCGGTTCCCACGACGCGGGGCATCCGGGGCGCCTCCTGGGCAAAGGCCTCCTGGGGATGCTGGCTGGTTGGAGTCCTGGTCCTGGTGAGCCTTTTGGACACCTGGGTGACCATGGTTAGACATGGTAGTCTTATAACACTCATGGCCATGGTGGTTGGAAATTTTAGGGGATGAACCTTCTCCTAACTTCTCCAAACCAGTCTTCCGAAGCCAAAAGGCATGCAAATTTGGTCTCAGCCGTAGAGTGATGTGAGACGCCATCTGTCGGCCAGACACGTTGTGTCAAGCAGCTCCTTGCTAATTCAAGACTTAGGTGACTTGGGTCGCCTCCAAGAAGCTGATTGTAACATGGAACCTGAAAAAATGGACGAGTGGAAGAGCTTCTACCACTGTGGATCTCTGTAGACAAAGATGATTCGCAAAAAGCAAACACCACTATCTTCGCAGCTGCAGGCTCTATCTTCGCAGCTACAGGTCCATGCCAAACAAAACATCAGCTTCTGGGTCCTCGCAGAAGCCTTGCAAGAAGGGAGCCAGCTGCCATTCAATCTTGCAGGCGGCCGCCTCAATGCAAAGGAGGGATATGAGATGTCAGGAGCACCTAGCCTGGCTTTGGCCTTTGACAATTAATTGATTATGCAAAATAGAGAAACCTTCCAGCTGCTTCCAAGGGGTTACCAATGGACAACCCTACACTGCTTAAAGGTCACCATTGGACACCCATTGGAAGCGCTAGGTTGGTTGATGTTCTAATGATTCCTTTCTGTAAAGATTGGTAAACCATTCGCCGCTGGAACCTTTAGGGCTCATTCCCCTCTAGAACTATCAGGCTCATTGCGCGATGTCAATCACAAAGTGCAGTTTGGGAATCAACTGAGGGCCCTCCTACATACCCCAAAAGAAACGACTATAAGTAACATACTATTAATGTTAACACTAAAACAAGCAAACAATGTCTGGCCCTCACTTGACCTCACTTGACCTCATTGTTTTGCCTTCCGTGCCTTCCGGGCCTCTTTCATGGCCTCGCGGCGGTGTCCACCGCGGCCATGGCTCGAACGATGTGGCTCGAGCGATGTCGCTGGGAGCGGGCACAGCGAAGGAACACCTCCCACGTGATGAGGGTACCTGGTACGCTGCTACCATCTTGTACCAACACACACTGAGGACTACAGTAAGGTACTTGGTACTTGACCCACTTTCTGAGGTACTAGGAGACTCCACTAAAACAGGAACAAATACACTTTCTTCTGAAATTGCCAGTGTTTCCAAATGCTGCGGAAGAGTTTTGCTGGTATCACTAGTATCATGTAGATGTTCAACTTCCAAATGAGCTAGCGGCTAGCGGACAAAGGAGGGCCAGTTCAAGTTCTCATCATCCGTCATTGTTTTGGCCCGAGAAGGCGTGGTCTTTTAGACGGTGCGCTTCTTGGTTTCAAGTACCTGGGAAGGTCTTGCGAGTCTTGCCCCCACGACCGACCTCCTTCCCTCATCATTGGAACCCGAACGGTCCTTCCCTCCAACGAAGCCAACGAACGGTGTCGAGGGCGTCAGCCATGACATGTCGAGGGTGTCAGCCCGCGGAATCCTCTTAGTTTCAAAAGCCGAGCTGAGCTGAAGTGTGTGTGTTTTTTCCCACTTCTTAGTTGTTTCCCCTTGAAAACCTGGGTGTTCCAAGTGAGCTTGATAGACCTTTCTTCGGAAGGCGCTTCTTCGGAAGAGGCACTTCTTCTTGCAGGTTCCGAAGTTGAGCACCAACAAAGATTTTGCGAGCTCGGCTCAGCTTCCAAGCAGTTCTTAAGCACTTTCAAGGGCAAAGTCTCCCAAATCTTCACAAACCCACCAACTGTACCCATAGAACCCATCTTGCCACTCTTTCCACGCATTCCCACACGTTTGTCGTAGTAGAACACATGTGCCAGCACCCTCCAACAGCTCTCCAGGTTGTTAGCCCGTAACAGGTCTCCATTGGTGTGCGGGGGGTTCTACCCGTCTTGTCTCTTTTACTACAGATCTCCACAGGAAATGACATGAAATGACCATAATATCTGGTTGGTACTCCAAAGCACAAGTCACATAGATATTGAATGATATTGATATAGATAAGCTATTGCAGGGGTACACAGCTGAAACACCCATTGGCAAAATCGCAACCAGCCTCTGTTTCTTTGGAGTCAAACAACGGAACATGTGCTAGTCGACTCCAAACTCCCATCGCCATCTGTTGAGCTCTCTCCGTTCCAATCGCTCCCCAAGCTTCATCTTCTCTTCGGCGACCCGGACCCGACCCGAACCTCCGACCCAAAGCACGACGCGCGCGGCTCCGCCGGCGCGCGGAGACCGTGGTGCGCGGCGCATGTCCTCGCGCCGCGCGATCCGCGCCTCCAAGCTACAGATAAAGGCATAGGCGAACTCCGTGAACTCCTCGGGATCCTTGAAGCGCCTTACACGGTCGGTCTAGCGGTCGGACCGCGGCGCTCCAGCCTCTCTCCAGCGACACGTGGAGACGTGGGCCGAGACGGTGTGTGGGAGACGCGACGTTGGAAAGTGCGGGTGGAGAAGCGAGCAGAAAGAAATTGGAGACCATGGAGACCCTCCCTCCAACAGACATGGAAGTGGACGTAAGCTTCTTTTAATGTTGGTGGAACATGGTCTTTCCAGATGCCATGCCATCCACTTGCAGGATTTGGTATGAGGTTCATTGTTTGGTATGACGTTTCTTTGGCATGACGGTATGACTCGTGCTTGCAGGTCTTATGAAGTTAAGCTATTGAAATTGGATGTTAAACCGTGAAGCATCACCTCTCACCCCATTTCGAGCCAAACGTGCACGCTCAATCGCACTTGGAATTCACCATGAAGAACCGCCCCCTCTTCAAGGGCACCACCCTCTTCAACCCAGCCGTGACCACGGCTCCACGGCTCCACGGCTCCGCTGTCCAAAGGGTCCCAGCCTTGCGCTCCGGTCACCACCGGTCCCTCAAAACCCCTCCAGAGGATGGTCCGACCCCTCTATACCTAAAAGCACCTGGGGCAAAAATTTCTGCCTCAGCCCGATTTGCCCGGGAGGATTCGCGGATTTAAGGTAAATCCGCGCCAGGTAGGAATTTCCGCGGCCAGCGGGGAATTTTTGCCTCGAGTAAAATCCGACATAGCAATTCAAAAACCATCACCACTGCCTAACACCGACCAGCTTGTCTCTTCCATGATTGCAGACCACATATCGTTCTGCAAGGCCATAGTTTCACATCTCAAGATCTGACATCCTATAGTTCTAAATTCATGACATTCACAAAGAGGCTGCGATATATGTTCAAGCCCTTCAAGGGCACTGTTCTTGAATCCCGCCTTCTGCCAGGAAATTTCCGCGGGAGGAGGAAAACTTAGGTGGAAACTTAGGCGCCGCCATCTTTTTGTATCATTGAGGTGACCATTCCAGGCAGAAATGCCCAATGCACCTGCAAACCATAAAAAGATTCAACTGTTCTATATAGAATATATGTAGTCTCTCACTAGATTCCTGAAAGGGAAAATTTGCGGCAACAAAAACATTTCCGCGGCAAAAAGTTGGTTTCCGCCCCAGGACGGGGAGAGCCGCTCTTCCCGAAAAAGGCAAGAATTTCTGCCGAAAGGATCTTCTAGGTATGAGCGCCCAGGGTCGCATCTGGGCGTAGCCTCCTCAGACCACAAACGAGTTTGGTGGACCTGAGGTGTTCGTGTAAAATGCTTGGTAAACACATGTAGACACCATCGAACACATGATGGTATAGTTGGAATCCTATATAATGGTTACCGGTATACCTTCTTCTTCCCGAAAGCGAAGAGTTGGAGATAGGAGTTTGCACCACTCCCCGCTTTAGGCAGCGTTCGCTGTTCGCCCAGCAAACTCCCCAGTGCCCAGTCCATGGCCTCTGAAGTGATTGATGTAACTCCTGCGGCTAAGGGTCTGCACCAGGTCTGGTACCTGAATCAAACAAAACTCCGGGAGTTCACTAAATATACATAAAGCAATCTAATAATCTAATATTATTATGTATTACATCATATCTGCTTGTTTATATCATACAGGTTGCTTTTTTACATGTATTTGATACTCTTTGATGACATCCTGGAATAAACTGAGACAAGCCTGGGCCGTGCTTCTTCACGCGCGCCCCAACTCCCCACGGGTCCTGGTGAAGCGTGAAGAAGTGCATATCCGACGGTGCCTTCAACGACGGATGAAACCCAAAGCATCCATGGGACTGGAATAGCTACAAGTATGACCCCCATGAAAATGGCCCCTCCATGTAGGTATATAACTATTCCATGGAAGGTCAGTCGCCAACAGCTGGGGTTGCAGGTCTGCCAGACCTTTGGTGCCAACGCGAATTACAAAATGTAACGTAAGCATCCAATAATACCAACATGCAATTGCGGGCACCCGGTGTGAACCCCTCTCCGCACATCCCCACACCATCAATCATCGCCATCAATACACTCCCGAAAACTAACATAGACCCTGACAATGGCCCCCTGGAAGAGTGTTTTCCTCTACCAACCAGTGGTTTTCAGGGTCCATGGTAGTCTTCCAGGGTGTTATCAAAATTTCGCATCTTCACCTCAAAGAAGAAGCTCTCCATGATGTCTTCGCACTCCTTCTTCGACATGTAGCGATGCTTGACGAAGCCCTGACCGCCCGGATTCCGGTGACAGCTGAGATTTGGAGGGACCAAGACCAGCACCTGACTTCACAGGTGCTGAAGTCTTCACAAGTCACCAATGGTTCGACCTGATACCTGCTGGTACATCGCAGACCTCTCCAGGAGACCTGCTGGTACATGTGTTCGCCTACAAGGAGTGCAAGTGATGACACATGTGGTTAAACGCGTGGTTCAACATACAAACTTCCGAGTGGTTAACAAAATGTTCAAATTGTTGATCTTATGGTCCATCCTCTCCCGCTCCAACGAGCTCCATGTCTTTGGACTTTGCCCAAAAAACGGTGGAAGAGCCTTTTGATGCGAAACACGGGAGACTCTTTTGAGAGACTCTGTTATACTTTCAGTTATACTCTATAGTTACGGGGAGTTGTACTCGCTAGACTCGTTTTGAGTGGAAAGGACGGGTGATCTCGGACCGTCCGGGTTGACCTAGGGTTCTAGGACCTGAAAGGATGGGGTGGAGGACCAGCTCTCGAATGGTGGATACGTACTACGGACGGAGCTGTGATTCCACGGTGATTCCCGGGTCCAAACACGCAGCCTGGCCTGTCAAAAACGGGTTCAACACTTAGCATCCACCAAGCTCTGCACCCACATGTAGCATACAAGTTCTAAGGATTGCTTCTTATTTATGAGTTGGCTGAGCCACGGCTAAGGCACTCCGGCGCGTCCAAACTAAGGCGGTAGCCCGGCTCTACCATTCAGATTCTCCGTCGCAACCCCTCAGCGGGAGCCACGGTACTACCTACCGCAAACGACTTGGTGCCCCAGTACTACCCGTGATCGAATCCCACGCTGTCTGACTCCGCCGTGCGATCACCGTCCGCGCTGTCCGCGCTGTCCGCGCCGCCCTGTCTTCGGTTTCAGGGCCTCTGCTCGAAGATAGGGCGGAACGCTGGTATCAAGTCCCAACCTCAATACAGTGGGGTAGGCACGGTCTCGAGGCCATTTGGGGCGAACGAACAACCCGATGTGACCAGGTTTTCCGGGTGGTTTGGGGGGGGGGTCACTGGATACCAGGGGCCCCCACAAACCATCAAACACCAGGTGTTCCCTATAAAACATAGTTTTTATACGTGAAAACCTTTATTTTTTGATATGTTCTGTGGTTTTGAGGGTCACTGATATATTCTATGATGTTTCATACATGATCATACATGGATGATAGATGGTCTGGGATAGGATCACTCTCAGCCAGCACTGAAACCAGTGCCGCGGAGCATGGATGATGTGTGCTGTGTGCTCGGATAACTGGCCAAGCTGTTGGAGGGAGGAAGAGATGTGCTGCGCAGCCACGGTCACATCTGGATCTTTGAGGACTCGAAGTCGGGACAAACAACCGCATACCAGCCTGGGTTGGTAGAGCTATCGACTGTAGCAGTCTTCCGCCATCCATTCGAGAGACTTGACTAGTTGAACATAGCTGAACAAACCCGCACTCACAAAGCCTGATGCTAGAATCCTTGATCGAACATCCCACCACAGATTCCCCTGGTGTGTGGCCCGTGTTGTTGCTCCTCATCCACGCGTGTACACTTTCCGGCCGAAACATAATTATATTTTACAAAACAACGACCCAAGCAATAGTTATAGATTTGTTCCATGGGAATCATTGATCGAAGAACACTCGCGAACAGCGGGCGTGATCTTTTCAACCACCCTAAAGCAAATTCTGCATGCTTTTGCAAGAGCTGTGCGGTTGTTCACACAAACAACTCTTATACAGTGAGCTGCCACCGAAAGGAACACAGAAGGGACTGGTGAAAGGCACAGCTACGAGTAAGAGTACTCAGGCACTCGTTGGGGGGCCTAGCCCTGCGAAGCTGCGCTTGTCGTTCATGCTGTAGACCTTTTCAAAAGATCCCAGAAGCAGAGCTTGGTTTGCGATGGCTGTTAATCACTACAAGTTCAAAACCCAGACCATACATGTATGGAATATATGCCTGCATTGACCCCCCCAAACCACCACGATGTGGGCAAATATGCCATACATGGATGGTCTGGAAAAACAATCCCTTCGTCAATTGATTCTTTTTTATTCATGGTCTTTTGAGTCAGGTCGCCACTGAGTGTAAAAGCAACATCTTGCCAGTGTTGGAGGAGATCAAGCTGGTGAGATCCAGCTGTGCCGGCAGAACAAACTCGACCCTGGACACTCATAATGTAGACTCTTGATCAATAAACCCCCCATCTGAAGAGGATGTTCCTATTCAAATGGGGGGGTCATCATCAAGAGTCTAGATGGTATATGGCTCATGCCTCACGACCCACAGCGACATTCAAACATCGAACCTAAATCCTCCGGAGGGGTGACATATACCGAGGTTCGAGGCGATACCGGCACGTGGCGGTCGGCACTTCACATACGGTCGGTGATGAAGAAAGGTGGACACTTGTCATGCAGAAAGACAATGAAACATGCAGAAAGTCGTGAGTATCAACTGCGCAGGCATCGCGACGCGCACCGTGCGCCGCGATCGGCTGAAGTGACAGATGTGAGAGTAGATGATGGGGTGACTTGTTTGCCTGAAACTTAGACTAGCTCACTCACTAGTGTCCTAGTCTGTCCTGGAACTTAGACAAGATGGGGTGACATGCTGAAACTTAGACACTCAGCTCACCCCTCTCACCATGTCCTTCTCGGAGCCTCGGACGACCCGTCCGACCTGACGATGAACCGCGGAATCTTCGTCATAGGCATCCAGCAAGTCCTCGAATGCGTGGGGCTTCGGAGGAACGCCATGAGATAAAATGCCCCAGACCATCCATGTGTGGAATAGTTATACATGGATGGGCCAAGTGAAGATGGAGTGAAATTTAACATGTATATCATGTAAACATATCTTGACTGTAAACTGTTCCAGTCCCATGGATGGTCTGGGTGCGCTCTGCAAAATGATCCATGCAGTTTCGACGCCCCGAGCTAGCTTAAGACGCCTGCAAATCGATCGCTGCAAGCGATTGTGGAGCTGAAATCGCCTGCAAATAGAGTAGATGAGTAGATATATGAGTACTAGCACCCTCCAACAGGTCTCCTCTGGAGGCTTTTGTAGACTTAAAAGTCGCCGGTGGTGACCTGTTGGAGGGTCCTGGTATAGATCATCATCATGTCCCCGAATCAAAAAAGAGTCCAGAGAACTGTCGTTGATGGTCATGCTCCCACGAAAAAGACTCGCAGGGCTGAGCGTCTTTCCAAGAGGTGGTTTGCATGAGGTGCTTCAGTATCAAGAGTCGCATGGGGGTCATATTCTGTTTAAAACAAGTTTGAGAGATACCTGGACCTTCCAAAGGGTGTCCAATAGGGCTTCCATTGGTGACCCCGGCTTGGAAGGTGCTGGCGTATTATTCACATGGTGCTGGTAGAGCTTTTGGAGGGATGCAGAAGGTTGCAGCTGCTACGTTCATGGTGACTGTGCAATCACCCAAACACTCCGTGTATGACATATATATTTCTATATCTCCATTCGGGTGGTTGTCAGGGGTCAATGTAGGTATACAGCAATATGTATTCCAGTTGCATGGAGTGTCTGAGTATTGACATGTCATCTGCCAAGCTGTTGACATCTTCTTCACCCACGAACGTGGCTCCTGCATCGAGCTTTCGTTCCAAATGGGCACCAGTTGCTTCACTTCCTCCAGTAGCGAATGCGTCTTCAGCACCTGTCGAGTGGCGGCCGTTGGCAGCCGTTGGCGGCCGTTGATGGCCGGAGAGGCTTGGGGAGATGGTATCAGGAGTGTCGAGGTGACCAAAAGGTGGCAGAGGTGGCATGTTGAAGTTGAGATCCAAGAGCTCTGTTCACAGCCCAATTCGGGCCCTGAACACCGTTTCTGGACAATTGTTGTCACCACATTGTGCAGGGTGGTGCCCACCACCATCTTCAAAGTCGAACAGAGGTAGGCTGCGGCCTAGTATATACGATTCACTGCATGGCCGTAGAAACACATGCGACATGCGCGATTTCCGACCACCAAATGGACCACCGTTCCGCGGAACAAGTTCGGTTTTGCGCCCACCACCTGTTCCTTGGACTTCTCCCGATCTCGCATGGCGGTCAGCAGAGTCTGGAGCACTGCCTCTAAGGTCACCTGGAGCACTGGGTCGTTGAATTGGAAGTACTGGACAACCTGGATGGTGGGAGCTGACCCTGTGAGAAATCTTGTTTAAGATCTTGGATGTCAACCTGAATGTGAATCTCTTGCCGTTTGAACATGTTAATGAACCACTCCAGAAGACCTTTCTCTGGAGCTGGTCATGTGTTTGACTCGTGCCATCGTGCCCCTCTTTATAGGGCACAGTCGACGCAGACGCAGACGACGCAAGGTCCACAGGATCGGGGTGCTGGATCCACTCACGTGGCTGGCTACGGGTCCCTGGCACCCCAGGCGGTGCGGTATGTCAGGTCATCCCACCGAACCGTGAGAAAGAAGCGATTCCGAGCCATGGAATTCAGGGTTGTCGCAGTGAGGGAGGTCGGATTTGGATTCATAGCCACTTATAGGGACTATATAATACCCAAGCACATCCCTCAGGTGACCGGTGGTATTCGACCCCCCCAAGCATCCAAACCACCGAACCTCAGGAGGGTGGGCCAGGAGCCCTATAGGGAGAACTCCTGGGGGGCTTCGATGTGCAACCCCTTGCCGCTTCGGTTCCGCTTCGGACTCATCATCTCTATGCGGAAAATGGCACATGACCCGAACAGGTACGACTGGGGCCCCATTTTTGCAAGGGTACAAACCAAGTCGACTCCAGGTGGAGGTCGACTCCGTGCGTGCGATCTGCGCCATGGAGGGTTTGGTCGACAAGGTGTGAGTGCTAAGGATTTGTCGGCACACCATCACCTGCTGCTGGTCCACCGCTCACCACAGTCCAAGCTCTTGAAAAAGCTCAAACTCTCAAAGGGTGAGTTTCTCATGGCATTCCGCACTGAAGATGTCTCTGATGTCACCACCGCCATGTTGACGAAGGAGCTTCAGAACAACAACAAACGACTAATTGTGTGCACTTGCCCATGTCTTTTTCAGTGAAGTATCACCAAGAACTGGGGCTTTCCTGGACCCATCAAGCACGAAGAATCTGCTCAAGCACGTCGGACATGTAGTGATTTGGTTTAGTATATGTTTTATAAACAGCAATGGTAACCTGAATGTGATGTTGATATGTTTGATGAAACCAGCTACTGCACTGAACTGTCCTGTCAGACCAAAGACTGTCATTGGACACTCATGTCACAGTACAAGGTGACGTATGTTCTATATATTATATATATGCAATTTGCATTCACTTATTTTTCCCGGGATGCCAAAGTCCGCCTAGCACCGTTCACCATGGCTCTTCAGCGTTTTGACCCACGCCTACCGGAATGGAGTATTTGCAGACATTGGTGTACATATCCCGTCCAGAAAAATCTTCGCAAATGCTTCAAGATCCCCAGCACTTAAAGTCCGAACCTGACAGATTGAACCCCTGTTCTTGTCGGATGTGGGATGGGGACCCCATCCAAGGTGACCTACTTCCTGGCAGCTGGCGTTTTGAATGTTCTAATTACCCTGAGAACATGCCATGGCCGTAGTTTTCGTACCTTGGTTTTCTTCTCCATGGCCATTCTCTCAGGCAAGCGGCCCTCAGCTCAGTCTGCCGTGCTCCAAACGGGTTTTTTGCTTCAAGGGCCAGCTCGGAGTGCTCCAGGTTTGGACAACTATGATATACTGGTTCAAAGAAATATACAGTACAGCTTTTGGACGTCCAAGAGATGCTGGTTCCAAAGAGATGCTGCTTGTAATGGAAGAACTCCCTGTTTTGGACGGTCTTCGCAACGAATCACCACAGTCATAAGATGTGCGGAGGTCTGTAGTGACATACGTGGTGTGACATATCTGGGACACATACCCACAAAAGAAAATAAATAATCAATAAAAATAAGCGCGCCACAAGTGAAAAATATATAACGTTCTAATCTACACAGCAGGTTGCAAGGGTCCGTTCCCGGGGGAGAACATGACATGACACACTTCAAAAGTCCTCTGAAATGACAGAGTCGCGAGCGAACGCCACACCCGACGCCACACCCAGTCATCCCAGAGTTCAGGTGAATGGGAACAGTCATCCCACGTCCCAGTCTTTTCTCTCTCTCTCTCTCGTTCTGTGGTCCTGTCTCCAACGACCCCAACAGGTCAGGAGACTGAGCTCAATTTCCCTAGGGATCCAGTCGTACCGAACCTCAGAGGGTACGACTGGACCCTCCTGGCACCTACATAACAGTGTCTCCAATCACCTTACCTGAGAAGGTACGACTGGATCCCTAGGGTTTGGATTTGATCATACAACACTCCTGGCCCATCTCCGACCCAGTGACCGGTGGTAAGACAGAACCCCCAAGACCACCCACCCACCCCTGTCCCATCGAACCGATTGCCGGAGAAACGGGCCAGGAGCCCAAACAGGATCATACGAAAACACTACTCAATGAGGTTTTCAGGACCAGGATTGGATCGGGGCCAGACTGGCCGAACGTAGGGTCATGAATCATTCACTGCTTCGCCCGGTTGCGACCCACCAAGACCGGCAGGGCTTTTTACTGGGCGCACGCACTGCAAGGTCTTCGAGTGACTTTCCCAAGACCTGACAGGTGCTGAGACACACACACACACACACCAGCCCTTGAACATTGCGTTTACATATTAATATATATATATATGCTCAATTGTATTTAAATTTAATTACTTATAAATATGCCAGGACCCTCCTGTCGGGGTGTCTATTTATAGCCCCTTAGCTGTTAAGGGGTGTCCAACAACCCCCTTGAAGGCCCTGGTATGTTTGCTTATGTCAGTTATAACGCCACCGCGAGACTAGCTCCTTAGGCGCCTCCGCGACCGAGCGAAAGCGACAACCAAGCTTTTGCTCTCTTTGTACAACTCCAGCCTGCGAGCTCTCTTTCCTGGCACACCGGTGCCTGTTGGTGCTTTTCTCATTATATACTCTATTTATAAATATATACCAGGACACCCTAAGGGGTTTCTATTGATAGCTCCTTAGAGGTTAAAGGGGTGTCCATTAACCTTGTGTCCTGGTATATCCTGGGAGTCAAAGACTATGAAAGAATGGTCTTTGGGTGACACGAAAAGGAATGTCCTTTTCTTCAGTCAGTCAAAATATCGTCAAACTGGACTTCTAGGGTATATATATATACTCATATATTGTTAGTGACCAATGGCCAAGTTTATGTCACAATGAACATGTGTATATATATAATATGTGGCCACCTCGTGATGTCAGAAGTCTCCAGTTTCAACTGGGCGCGGCTCGCGCGTCTTCTCATCCGCCTCCTGTGCGACACGCCGCGCAAAGGCCACCCCATGCACTGCCTGTTCAGGGCGACCGGCGCTTTGATTGATCTCTTTTGGGCGACCGGCGGGCCGCGTTGAAAGAAGGACCGGCCCGAAATAAAGAGAGCTGATATTATACCCTAGGGATCCAAGTACCTCCTCAAAAGGTACTTGGACCCTCCAAACCCACCCCAAACACCTGCTCAGAGGGTACTTGGATCCTTAGGGATATGGTCATATCCACCAGTGAGTGAGTTGTCATAGCCACCAAATATCAAGCAACCTGATGTTGTTGTTGCGTACCCCTGAGTTGCGATCTCGGTCAGTTCTCTCATGTTGTGCGGACTCTCCATGCGTCGCAAAAGGGTTCATTTTGTTCGGTGACCCATGGGTGACCATGTGAGGGGTGGCACGGGTGATTCGGTCCATCTCCATTCATCATCCTCTTAGGAGTAACAAGATTTGTGCTCCTGGCCCACCCTCTTGAGGTTAGGTGGTTTGGGTGGGTGCCAGGGGTGTCGAATACCACCGGTCACCGGGTCGGATGTGGTGAAGTCGCCCTAGGGAATAAGCTTTGGGTGACGCATGACCTCCGCCCGTCACCGCGTCACCGCGTCACCGGAACGGTCCTACGGTGTCAGGAACGGTCGTCGCCGGCGTCGTGGCCGCGCCTCTTCAGCCTCAAAGTACCTCCCGTCGTGGAGGGATCGACACCCGCATCGATCGGAGGGTCGCTGAGGGAAGACAGAAGACAAATCACCGGGTCGAAGTCTACAAGAAGAAAGAGATGGCAGTTCATTGACACGTTACATACATGATTGGTGTGTATATAATATGTGTATATATATATAGTATTTATGCGACCCGGTGAAGACAGGGAAACCTTTGCTGGACCCACCAGTTCTGCCGAAGTTTCGGGTGGTTTTTTCAGATTGGAAACTTGAAGTATATACACAATACATTGAGATACATTGAGTACATGTCAAGTTTGAATATCAAATTATCAATTTCAATTACAGGTAGGGGTTGGGACTGGCAGTTTAATTGTCATAATTCAGCCTTGTTGGCTAGGGTGCACCACTATAAAATGAATTCATCTGCAATCCTTTGTACATACAATAAAACAAGGCGTCCAGCTATGCCCATCTAATTGCACCTCCACTCATAAGATCAAAGCAAGCTTCTATAACATGTGAAGCATGCACTTGCAGCATGTTATGAGTTCTTCTTATAACTGTTGGCTAGGGGCTAGGGATTACATTCACTCTCTATAAAAGGTAAATCTTGGACTTGACTAGTTTCAGAGCTAAAAACATAGCTGTCATGCATGTTCATATTCATGCATATATATATTAGTGAGTGTAAATGCTTTACAATATTGTATAAAGCAAAATGTGACCACATGTTCCCTATAAAGTGCTGTCGATTTTGGGACCTCGAGGTCTCCATTCTATCGCGTGTATTCCCTTAGAGGATATGAACATGTAACATGTGTCCTGAAGGCCCCCAGCTGACCCATGTGGACTCATGTGGACTCCTTCCACCGACCATGGTGGAACTCCTGCCTTCATTCAGCCTTCGGAACTTTGGTTCTTTCTTCAGCCCCCTTCTCCAGTTGGCCAAGGTCGACCATCTCAATCCGTTAGTAAACATCGGCCGCCCGGCTGCCTGGCTGGCCCGCCATTAATGGTTTGAATCCCGAACAACGAATGCTTCAATGAATTTACACTCAGAAACTGGGTTAGCTGTTCGTTTTAATGGTCGAACGACTGGAATCTGTTGCGCTGCACAGCATAATGCATAATGCCGTGCACGGTACGCCGCTAATTAATGCGCTGCAGCGACCGTCAGAGATGATGGTCGAACGGAATACAATCTGGGGAAATGATCAACCCCTATGGATCCACATACCTCCTCAGAAGGTCTTTGGGCCCTCCAAGCCTACATAAATTCAATATAGTCTCCAATCACCTTCTCAGTGTGGGATCCATATAGGGAACTACTTCAAGTCGCTCCCTGGGGCACCGGTTTGAGGAAGGGTCACCAACGGGTACTAGGTCGGTCATGAAGTCGGTCTGATGATCTTCTCATATCTTCGATGCTCCGTATGTCGGAATGAATGGGACAGGGCGATCGTCCCATTCCCCTCCGTTCCCTTCGGCTCGTTCCCAGCTTCCCGAGCCGAGCGAGGGCGCGGATCGGCGCCTTCGCGCGGGAGCCCCGGGCGCACTCGAGCTTCTCATAGAGCTCCGGCAGCCGCGCGGCGTCCGCGGTTCGGCGCTCCATCTCTCGCTCCACCTGGTTGTGACGTGGCCACGGTGGCTAGAGACAGTGCCAAATATATGTGACGGTGGAGTGAGAATGTGGTGGATTGGTTGTTGTTTTTCTTCATGTTTTTGGGGTGAGCTTGCTTTAGTGATGGGAGACTGGCGGGTTGACTTGGAACGATTGCAACAGGATGTCTGTGTTTGCGCTTCACATTAGACTAGGATGGGCACTTTCAACCACCGTGTGTTGTACGTATATAAGTCACCACTTTCTCTAACAAAAACAAACACCTGTGGCAATGTCGGGAATGCCCAACAACGATTTTGAGATATTTGAATGATGATCAGACTAGGCGATCCCTACAAACAGACTTTGGTACCGGTCCGGTGTTAAATAGTATTATATTTGGAACTCTAGGGGAAAAATGATAGAATTAATGAAAGAACAAACACATAGATCTGTTCCTTGCTTGGTGAAACTGGTTCCAACCCTGCTCCAATACTTCCCCAAGTTTCCAACCTGTTCCAACCAAACATGATCCTTGTTTTCCCTTGTTTGTTCCAGCCTTTTGGTTCACCATGTCGTCACTTTCGGCTCCAATACTTCCCCTTTGGCGTTTGGCGTACTTCTGGGGGGGCGGCCCAGCCACACATCGCCGGCGCCTTGATCAGCTTCTCTTCAAGCACATGGGTCCTCATCACCATGTGACGTATAGGAGTGCGGATTCGGAACATACCATGAACATTGGGAATGAAGGATCCACCGGACTGAGACTGAGCGAGCGTGCTCTATGCTAAGTAAGCACCGAGTTGCTGGCCTAATCGTGAATGCGCTCCCCAAAAATCATCGACTCTTGATTCAAAGTAGTCAAGTGGAATCCTGTCACATAATGCAAGTTCCCCAAGTCAAGCCAAACCGTGCGCCCCATTCTCCGCGCCAACCAACCAACCGTCAGAACTACAAGCAAAACAAACCGAACCGCGCAACACCCGACCCTTCCGAACCGTTAGACCGTCCACTAGGCCTTCGCTCCGCTCCGCCGCGGAGAGCCGCTCGAACGGTTTGGCACGAACGGTCTGGAAGCCGAGGGGCTCATGGGTCAGGGCGACCGTTTGGTCCCGGAGGTCGCCGATCAAGTGGTCCTGCGGAGAACAAGCATTTAATAGAAGAAGAAGTCAGCAGGTGCATGCCTCATGATTGCTCAAGTGTGACTTTAAAGAATCAGTTTCTCATCCACACTTAGTCTTTGTTTATGGTTGGAGCCCTAGGGAGTATACTGTGTCAGTTCGTTCTGTTTCAAAGCTTCGCACCCAACTCCGGCGCGACACACGGACGGAACCAGGGGGAACCCGGGTTCGAGGCTTGGCTTCCAACGAATACCCCGTCCTTCTCTTTGCATTGCACCTGAAGGCTGTTGAAATCCGACTTCAAGGTGGCTTCCCGGTACCTGTGCGCACACCGCCGGGCCCGGCCGAAGCTCGCTGAAAACAACCCAATGGTCGGGAAGTCACGGTCCGAGTCCTTGCGGCCGAGTCCTTGGGCCTTCTGCAGGTCACGGTGTCACATGGTGGAGCACCAATTGGGTCAATTGAAACCCATGGAACCCTGAGCCTTCATGTGAAAGGTTTTTGGAAGTTGCTGGAGATTCTATGATTTTGAAATGGTGAAACCAGCACGGAACTGGAAAATACCCTTTGTATATATCTGCGATGTCATTTCCGAAAGAGGGGGGCCGTGCGTTTTCCACGTTGGCCCGTGATTCTTTCAGATGAGAGCTCTACGCCCTTCAGGTCCAGTTCGACCAATATTTGACCCCACTGTAAACACAGACCAAGAGAGGTATCCAGTGACCTGAACTAGGACCCTTTTTTCCTGGGGTACCTTTTTGGGGATAGTCTAGTTCGGGTCCTTCAACCTCTGTTGGGATCTTAAAACCATTTTTTTACATGTTCCGTCGACCACCGTCGACCGTTTCGTCTTCTGCTCCGCTTCGGGGCGTCCCGGCACTGACGTTCTGAGTCACTGGTCACTGGACTCTGACACTGACGGCGTGGAGTGGGCAGAACATCACCGGACCGTGACATGGAGCTGTTATGCGTCAGCTTGACATCTCTTTCGAGAATCAGAGGCAAATAAATGCCTTAACCAGTCAGGACCGACCCCAAGTCCGGTGGTTTTTGAACACCCCTTCTCACCGCTAGCGGATATTGTAAACATCTCTTGGAAGACACCTCTTGGACGACACCCTGGTAGATCCAACAAAGGATCGATGTGGACTTCCCTGAATCGCGCAAAACAAATCCCAGACGCTCCATGGGACTGCCATATATGCCGATCAATTGGGGTGGTTGACTGGGGGGTCAATGGGGCGGCATATATGGCAGTCCCATGGAGTGTCTGGGAATTAGAAGAGTTTCCCAATGATTCACATCGATGTCAACAACATGACCGGTACACCCACCCATTCCTTTTTTCTGGTCCATCAATCAATCAAGCTCCATCCATGTGCGCACTGAATGTCTCCATAGTCGTTCAAGGCAATCTTGGTTTGCTGCTTGAAGGTGCGCAAGAACTCAGCATCACGGCACCAAATGGACGGCAGATGGACGGCACACGGACGGCACCAGGCTGGCACCAGGACTTTGGGGTTTTGGGGTCGTTCGCAGCAGCACCAGGCACAGGTGGTTCTCCAGCTCATGCACCAGGACTCCCATGCAAATTGTGAGATGTCTCAGTCAGTCTAAGCACATTGGGTGAGAGCCTGACACGCAAAGCCTTGACTCAAAGCTGTTCCATGCACCTTGCCCTCCGGAACTGCACACCCACCTGACCCCCAATCTTCCCCCAATTCCTTCAGCGTCTTCCCGGACTGACCGGCTCGACCAGGTCCCCAACCGGCTCGACCAGATCCCCATCGCGCTCCCGCGTCGACCGACCTCCTCGGTCTCGGCCAACTTCTTCTCCGCCGCTTCCATGGCCGCGCGACACTGCTCCCGCTCCTCCTGGCAGCGAGAGCGGCCGGAGGTCGTCGTGGGCACGGTCGTTGGAGTCTCCACGGCGAAGTGGAAGGTGGATGGAGAGATGGGGTTTCGCCGGGAACAGGAAGAGAAGGACTGGGTTCTCCAAAGGGTACACGGTATGCCCGGGTATACCATGAAAAACAAGGGTTTTCACATATACAAAAGCCATGTTTTTTTGCTATAGGGATCCATAGGGAAAACCAGGTTTTTGATGGTTTGGGCCCCTGGTATACCCTAAGTTGATGGTGACAATCTTCAATTTGATTCGCAGCCCTGGGTCCCTTCAGTCGCTCCTCCAAGCGCTTGGCCTGCACACGCAGCTCCTGGCCGACTGGTGACGCTGCTACGCTGCTTTGGTGCTCCATCGGTCCCGGATCTGCCCAGATGCCATCACCACCACATGCAAGATGATCCGACTGCGCCACAAGAAAACGGCCGTTGTCGGCTCAACCGCCAACCCATTTGTCAAAGGGAGATCACCAATCGTCTGCAGTAGATAAATCATGTGGATTGTCAAAGGTCAAACGAAAACCAGGACCCTCCTGCCGGGGTGTCCAATGGACTACCCCACACTACCTTGGGGCATTCCATGGGGCACCCCAACAGGAGGGTCCTGGAAGACTCAGCTGTATCTCTTCACCAAAAACCTGGGCTCTTCCTCATAGGCTCTGCTCTTCTTCTTGGCGGTCTGCATCCTCGGGCCATGGGAGTGCTGCTTGGGCCATGGGAGTGCTTGAACTAACACCGAATCCAATCCATGCTCGCTATGCATGTAGCCAACAGGTTCCACCTAAAACAACAAATATTGCTTAAGTTGTGTTGTTTAAATAAAATATGTTTACATAGCAAAAACATGTAACAAACTCTATAACCAAATAAACGCACAGGATTTCGTTTTTTGAGGTCCGGAAACCCGCAGAGGACCGAACGTCCAGAGCGGCTTTGACCTGAAACTTCCGTCCAATGTCTAAAGGCTGAGGGTTTGTTTTAACCTTCTGATCTTGTGCACTTCACCTCTCTGATAAAAAGTGGTTGATCTTCTTTCTTGCAAAGTGGGTACTTTGTGTGGAAGCTGAAACCAGCAAAAGCAAGGACACACGAAACTAGCTCAAACTAGAGTGATAGATGTGTCAATCTGTTCGACAAAAGTGAGAACAACTGCACAAGTTACTACGGCCAAGCAACATCAGCAACATTAACAAGACACTCTCAAAAGCATTAAACAACTATGACAAAGCAGAACCTGTTCGCAAGACTCAACAAGACACAAACACATACTTAATTGGCATACCCCATTCCCAAACAGAATGAAACACCTTAATTGGCATACCCCAACCCCCAAAAAGTATGGTACCTCAATGGGTATATATATAACGCCCACCGAGATCTACACGTCACAACCCAAAACACCGGTTGCCGTTCGCCCCGTTCGGCGCCGAAGCCGCCGGTTCGCCGTTCGCCGTCCCGGGCGTCCCGGGCGCTTTCTGCTCTTGCGCCTCGCTCCGCAGCTGCGCTTGCCGGGCGGCCTCGGCGCTGGCCTCGGCCCGGGTTGGCAGCGCTGCCCGAAACGGCGGAAGAGATGAGTTGCGAATTAGATGGTGCTTCTATAGTCCCTAGACTTCCAAGACCGTTAAACAAATGATTGTTCTGGTGTTCGTAGTGTAAAACTTTTAGTTGATTCGGGATTCAGCCTATTAAATTAATGGTGGTTGGAAGCCTTGGGTAGTGTGACGCTTATATGATGCTTATATATATATATATATGTTATATGACGATACAATAATGCTGCTATGCTACTATGTGTGATGTTTGGGGGGGAAGATCTGGAGACTTAGCTCTTTCAGTTGCTGCAAACAAGGGGAGCCAAGCGTGAGACCTAAGCTGCTAGGGCCGGTCAGGGCGCAAAGCTCGCTCTGCTAGTGGTCAGGGCTGGGAGCTTGCTCGTGCCCTTCAAGCTTCAGTCGGACTGGTATCAATCACAGGCAGCCTGCAGGACTGATGAGGTGAGCTATGGTGAGCTGCTGTGAGGGCAGGGCAGTGGTCATGGCACAAGGGGGGCCGTGGTTTTTCTTACCAAAACTGAATAGATTCCTCGATCTATGTTCAGCAATGTTGTTCAGCATGTCAATATTCCATATGGTGCCATGACTCACAGCCCTAGAAAACTGACACCTCCATTTCTTTCCTGACATGCAAAAGAGCTCCGCTGAGGTGAAAAGAAGGAACACACACAGCTATGCTGGCCATTGAAGACTTGGGCCCAGGACACCACAAAAGGCCCTATGCCCTGGAAGAGACCCACATGAACCCCCAAAAATCCATGCTAAGCAGCGGTTCCAAGCCAGGTTCTCTTTTCAGGTGCATCTCTGAGAAAAAAGGTTTGGGTATATCCTATACCTAACAGTGGATGATGATGATGATGATGATGGTTCGGTTGCAGGGCTTTATCCCTAAAATAGAACAGTTGATGTTTTCTTTTACCGACTGTTACAGGTACTAGGACAGACCCCAAGCATGATCTCCTTCTCATTCGGACCCAAGCACTTCATCTAATATATATATATATATATATGAACTCCGCAACGCACCTCCCATGCCAGAAGCTCATCTTTTTGAGTGCTTGGCGCACGAATCTGTCTGGA